CTTAAAAATGAGAATGAAGATTTATTTGTAGCATCTGTGTATTATAATTGAACAATTTTAGACACAGTATATTTAGTCCTCATACAGCGATATAATGATATCTCCTGTACCTGAAAATAAATATGAATATATAGAGGATATTGAATGAGTGTATGTTTAATACTGATTTTTTTTGAACGAGTTGAATGTAATAAATATATTATGCGAGTCTCTGGCAAGCATGATATTATTTTATTCAACGAGTTCTATAAATTTAGCAATGAACTTACACGAATTTAATATTCTTTTTATCATATACGAAAAATAGAGACCAGTTGAAGTGATAAAGAAACTTTTCTAAAGTAAAACGCTCACATTTAGCGCGTCTTAACGCATGTTTGCATAACGCAAATGACGTCACGTCAAAATATATGCACGACCTTGTAATAACGTTTTTACGGATTCACAAAATAGGCACGGGTGTGTGATAAGAAATAATAATATATTAACAATAACCTTGGCTATAATTGGACTTCACTGTTGTTATAGTGTATGCTGATGATCCTAACTCAGGCATAAAATTAGGAAATACCTTTGTCTCCGAATTCACGTTATGATCTTCACGATTTTAACTTCTCGAATTCGCGATTTCAACTTCATGAATTCACGTTTTCAACTTCACAAATTCAACTTCATGAATTCATGTTTTGAACCTCACGATTTTAACTGCATGAAGATGAAATCATGAATTCATGAAGTTGAAATCATTAAGACAGATGAACAGTAATTTCATTAAGAAATATGACATTATGGAAATTAATTTTACTTGCTTGCTAAGTTATTTACATTAATAACGACTTTTGATTCAATTTTATTATTAAAAGATTCGACAATTTCGTTACAAATCTTTGGAAACGGGTAAATGCATTGAGATATGATTATATTCCTCTTTATAAAACTGTTGTCTAATTTCATTCTATTTTTATTTGTTGTTTGATGTCACATCGACACTGTAAAGGTCACATGATGAGGACCTTCCTGTTATAATGGTGGAGTAACATTTCATGCATAATTTCTGGCACAAGCGAGCATCTAAATTAGATGCATGGTTTAACAGTTTATCTCTTTAGCTGATATTTTGTTTGTTATGGTTTTGTTTTTCGGCGGGGGGGGGGGGGTCTTTTTCGACCTGTGTGTTTTATATATTGCACGCACACACACACACACACGGTCGCACGCACACACGCATCAACCAACACACATAACATACATTTATGAAACAATACATACATTTATTAAACAAACACGTGTAACATTTTATATACGAGTTACTTATTTTGTGCACAACAAAGCATTCTTGCCTACTATTTCAACAACAGAAAGTCAAAAGCAAGTGTTTCGTTTTAAAGGGAAAGAGAATGAACGTATTTAAAATTAAATTTGAATGTTTATGTCGACATATATATGGTTCCAATCATGGTGTGTGAATTAAGAATCGCGCAAAACTTCAAGCTGACAACCACTTAATTTCGTATCAGATGGGTCCATCTGTGAAAGAAAATATGATTATTCGAGGAATAATTGAAAAAATTTTCTAATTTTTTTTTTCTTTATCATATCACAAAAAAACTTGTTTATAATTATGTAATTTTTTTCACATCAGAAAGGTGAATAGATACTAAATACTTAAAAAATATTGCGAGTAACAACTGCTGTTTGGTAAATTAAGCACGCATTTTATTTACATTATAGAATTCATTTAACGTGTAAGTTTGATGTGAAAAATTTATAGGAGGCGTGGGCGGTAACTTGCGCTTTCCAGTACCGTCCATGAACATGCTCAATCAAACCGAGCCTGCTACTTTTCCAATGTTGTCGTGGTAGACTTTCTTTAGGGATCCTGTTTGTCTCTATTTTACACACATATGACACAAACACAACTAACTTGGCTTATTATTTCGACATAATTTCCACACAAAAAATGAAATTATTATATTGATTTGCTATTTTGCAGTAGCGTTTTATAGGTATGGTTTCTAACCAGCGCGTTATGTCAACAAATAACATTGAGTTGTGTGCTGTTATTAACGTTCATGTGGGACTCCAACATATACCGGACGAAACACTAAAGCAAGTTATTAACTCATTATAAACAATTTGCAGAGAATTTGTATACAAATGGCAAGGGTGGTATAAGGACGGCACACCTTGAGTGTTTGATGTCGTACGAAGTTGCGAGTTACTGTTGGAATTGTTGGAATGACAAATGGTGCTGGGTACTAGGTATTTCAGGGCATCTATCGCGTATTATACAGCAGCGTATTATTACAGATGAGTTACATTTGGTTACATACATGTATTAAAATGGCCACATGTATAATACGCCGAAAATATTGCATCGGGTCGGCATTAGTCTCAGATATTCAAGTAACATCAACGTGACCCTGCATTGACACCGGCGTGTTTCAAGAACTACGAAGTACTGTTGTTCAATGTTTCATGCAAACGTCATTGTTCAATGTATCTAATTAATATTTGAGGTCTATGTCAATGTGTATTTTTCCGTTTTCTGTAATAAAGCAACTTCACTAATCAATCACCTTTGGTAGAAGGCAAGTCGCTCGGTACCCTTTATTACATTATATATGAATTAGAAATGAAATATTTTCACATTAAGTCGATTGTGTTGATTTTCAAAAACAAAGTGTAAAAATATTATCACCGACAAAAGGAAGTACTTGATTGCTTAAAGGTATCACGTAAAGAAGTATACATGTATAAACAAAACTACGAAGAAAGAAAGATAACTGTTAAAAGAATATTGCGTGATTTGAAGGGTGATGTTATTTCGCTTCATACATATCACATAACAAAAGTTTTAGACCACTTCTCATTACTTGAATAACATTGATAATGTCACTAGCGATAAATCTATGTAATTTCTACTCTAACAATGAAATAAACAATATCCAAACTGATATCATTATGATCTGACAAGCGCCCATCATATAATTAGCATCTATAATTTCTATTTTGCCCAACGGAATGGTGCTAATGCAAACCAAACCTAAATTTGTCTGAAGATAATGTATTGACTTCATGTTATACATATATAAATCATTTTAAGCCCGCAGAACATGCCGTTAAGTAGAGTTCACAAAGAAGGTACCGATGTACCACGATTAGTTTCAAAGTTATTTACTTACAGTAACCTTGATTGTAAAAATGACCGAATACTTACTTTCTTGACCTTAGTCGTATCCAGGCACAATTTATGGCTTTTTTCATATTAAACGATTATGTAACACGTTATTAAAATTGTAATTTCATGATGTATTTTCTCTATGGCAACGAAATTTTTTCAGTCATACATATACAAATTGACGAGATGATAACATGTAAAAATACAACATTGAAATAAATGAAACAAACATTGAAAAAAATAGTTATAAGACAAGTAGAAGACACAAAAGAACAATGACAATAAATATCAATATATTCATAGATAAATTTATCACTGAAATGAATGCCAGCAAAAAACAGAACATTTATACGGGAAGTCAAAGGCCCGACTATAGACTACACGTGTATATTTGAAAGAAATTCAATTAAAACAAACTAAATAATATATAGAATTATATACCTATATCGATTTCAGTGTCAGTTGTACTTGGGCGCCGCCATTTTTCAATGTAAGTCAATGATAATAGGCGAGGACTTAAATAACGAACAATCGAAACTTTTCGGATGAAAAATAACCTTCGAGTATTCCGAGTGAAAACGAAAGCGGTGCATGAAATGCCGAATGACACCTTCAAAACGGAAAAATGTCGACTTCCCCGTTCATAGGCTTTGCTTAATTTCATATTGACTATAAAAACAAACGTATTCAAACAAATATATTTAAAAATTATCTACAAAGTATCTTATCAGTGGTTTCCACTAAAGAAACACCAAGTTTAATATGTATCTACAATGTATCTAATCAGTGGTTTCCACTTAAGAATCATCAAGTTTTATATGTATTGTTGAACATTGTAAGACTTTTGTATGGACAGATTTGCTGCTATTGCACGCACAATATAAATATTTACATCCATTTAAGCACACTGTCTGAAGAAACGTTTTGCCGGCTCACAGGCAACAATACGATGATACGCCGAATTCAAGGTATCAATACGCCAAATATGGGCAATGAAATGATATTTATTGGCATGTAAAATACTGTATCGTTCTTTTTTATTTTTTTGCATTATTTCGTGTGCTCGCGGTCGAAGGACCCTGTAATGAAGTAACGACAAAAAAGCGCGACATAGTTTTGAAAGCTGGCAAAAACCAGTAATTAACTGTTGGATTCTTTATTCACTAAAATGTAGATATGTCATGCTGTAAAGCTCTGAGATCTTATTGTTAATTTTATTTGTCATTTTTGTTTAAATGACTTGTTGATTTGAGAAAACGTTTTACATTTTAATATTAAATGACGCATGTTGATTTGAGAAAACGTTTTACATTTTAATATTCAATGACGCATACGTACTTAATCAGTTAAACATTATACTTGATCAAATTCCACTTAAATTTATCCGCCACTAACGGCCGGACGGTACGAGTCGCTTTAAATCGTGCTATTCATATTTATATATTTTTAAAACCTATAAATGAATTATGTAGATTAGAATATGAGACAAGTAAGTAGATCTTTACTTGTAGTAATAAATGTGCGTAGTTATGAATGGCAAGATTCAAATTAGTAGTATCCGTCTCATGTAAGATTTCGGACAATTTTACGTTGTCTTTCCAGAAACCAGCCAGTTTCAGTTACATATTAATGTGAATCCCAGTCAAGTTAGAAATGAAACAATGAACAAAAACAATTTAAAACATCCTGACAAGTTTTAAAAACATTTATTTACATAATTATGTTTATGAACATTTTTTTCAGAAATGCCTTACGAAAGATGTAAAAGAGATTGAAGTTTTTAAACATCTTATATGATATTGTTGAATATGGATAGATTGGGAGTAACCAATAACTGTTTTACTCATATTGCAATTTTTATATGTTTGTTGTCAGTAAAATGACATTTAATATTTTCATTTAATTTATTTATCTAATTTCAAGGGAATGGCAATCATTCCTGTTGAAGAAAACCTTTTATCTGTCTTTAAAAACAAACACGATTTTTCCTTTTATTTTCATTTTTTGTGGATAAGAAAAATAAATTAATAACTTTAATCAGAACACAAATGTGTTCAAAGTAATTTTACCAGATTTTCTCCATGATTTATTGTTACTTTGACATTTAAACATAAGGAACCATTATACCTCGGACATATTTTTTCCGAATGGGTACATTTTAATGTCATCCTTAAAGAATATAATACATATGTTTATTCTTTAAATACTAGTAACTTTATGATGATACAAGGACACTATGATAAAGTTTTCACAATGTACAATTACTTAGTTTTGTTTTACCAAATACGGCTGGTGTGACAGATATGAGCAGGAGGAATGACAAAAAACTATGGTATAAATTTTCCTTTTATAGCAGCAGTCCTTACTTTACTTCAGTGTTGTTATATTTTTCTGGTTCACTGATAAAATCAATGTCATTGTTAAACTAGTACCGCTCAAGCTAGAGGGTGATGAGAGATGTGTTTTTTTTTCATAATCCGTCTGAAGTCTCAATTCAACATGTAATTTTGTTGTTTTAATCCTTCGGAGAGATCACACTGTTCAATAATTTTATCGGACTCAATTATGTAAAAGGCAGTTTTTTACAAGTATGTTTGACGTATCGGTCGAAAGATATTTAAACAGTAAGACGTCAGTGGGGAAAAATCAACAAATAGAAGGGAAATATGGTTTGCATGGCAAACCATAGTTTTTATAAGGTCGGTGGCATAAAAACAATTGTTATAAACAAGGAAAAGTATACTATGAAATCGATAATATCCTAAGTTAAGGATCCAAATTAAGTTCATTTGGAAGAAACCGCAAATGGAAAACGTTCTAGACAAGATTTAATTGAGCCTGATAATAGACAGTAGTAAGCTACCGTCCTCTCCCATTGCACCTAAATATAATTCAAACATATAGTGAACGTTTGAATTTAAGCAAATACGCAGTCAGGCTCATACACTGTTCAATTTGTCGTTTTCGCTCCCTCTACTTGCGAATTCAGGATCTTTGGCAGCGATAACATCTCTAAAAGACTTAAATGGTGGTTTTTCTAACATGTAACTTTTAACAGGTTTTTTATCCCTGTATCTCCTACAAATATTTTTCCACGATGTCCTTTTTTGTAAAATATCAAAAATAGATTGACCAGATTTTGTCAGCATTCGATAATCAGCTTTGAAGTCTTTTACTAATATTGTAAATATTTCTAAATCTAGTTGCTCACATGCGGTATGAAGAGGCGTTTTCCCATATTTATCTTGCGCATTGATGTTTACTTTCGGGCACAACAATTTTACAACTTCTGTCAAACCTTTATGAACTGCAGCATGCAATGGCGTATATCCGTGTCTGTCTGGCGTCGTAACGTCTGCAATTGGCAACAGTCTTTTAATAATCTGCATGCTTGACCATTTGCCGAATTTCATCTTAACTGGTCGAACTTTAAATATCACATCCATTACTTCTTTCAATATACCATCGAAAGAATCTCCACTTACCTCATTTGAAGATTTCGTTTCTTGGTGACAATCAGCTATCACTCGGTAAAATGGTGTCTGTCCATAAAAGTCCTGAATGTTTGGGGTTAGATTGTGTTTCAACAGTAAGTCCACAAGTCTACAATCCGCCTTGTACACGGCAACATGAAACATATCTGCACCTTTAATGGCCGATTTAATTCCATAGGATATTCTACGTGTCAATGTTTTCCGAGAAACATCAGCATTTAGTAACATTTCTACTACTTTTATACAAGGAAACTTTGTAAGAACAGCACAATGTATAGGGTAATGTCCTCTGAAATCCTTTGCAGTAATGGAAGCTCCGTACTTTAACAACAATTCTGTAATATCTTTATCTCCCTTGTCGGCACTTATATGAAGTGGCGTCCTCTTATATTTTCCAGCTTTACAGTTAACTTGAGCATTGTGTACAAGTAACATTTTGCATGCTTCTGTTTGGTGATTTAAAATTGCTTTGTCCAAAGCTGACCAATTATTTTTATTTCTGAAATTGATATCAGCACCATTACGAAGTAGTAGTTCAATACATTTTGTAGATCCGCATTTCGCTGCTGCAATCAGAGGACTGTTTTTATTCAAGCTATTAGGGTAGGTAACACGAATCTGTTCTCGATTTTCAAGTAAACATGCAAGACTCTCGACATGGCCTTTAGCAGCCGCAAAATATACCGCTTCTGCACATACAACAGCGCCATGTTTTAGCAACAGTTCAATAACATCTTTCATACCTTGATGGGAAGCTACTAGTAAACTTGTACGTATGAACAGTGATTCGTTAATTACTAGATGAAGTGCCTTTTCGAAATACACGTTTAGGAGAAACTTGTGTTTGTACAGAAGCGCTAGCGTAGGTAGATAGACAGGGATTATTCCTCCTAAATTGATATCGCAGTTCCAGTCAAGACAAATCACTGGCAATATGTCAACGGGTTTTGACATGAAGAATTTTCCTTCTTTGCTTTCACAAAACATTTCTACGAACGGCAATTGATTGAAACAATCGTGTTTCAAAACGGACGTATCAATGTTTAGCTCTCCAGGTAGTGAAAAATCAATATAAACAGGGCCGAAATTATTCCGAATTTCGTAATCTCTTTTCTTTGCAACAATAGATAAGAATGCGTTCTGCCTTTTCACATTCATATGTTTACAAATTGCTTTAAGTAGATCAAAATACTGATATTCATGAACAAAAATATGGTATCCATCATTTTTTGAATTCTCGGTTGTTACATACTCCATAATGAACCCCATGTCAGCAAATTCCACTACTGCATTTGGATAATCGTGACCAGCAACCAAACCAACCATATCTCTTATTGTAGTATGTGTAAAAGAACAACATCCTGTACTTTCGTCAAATTGAATGAACCCCGATTTATGATATTTTACTGACTTGAGTAAGACTCTGACAATATGTCCTTTCAAGTCGATGCCAAATTTTAGAGCAATCTGTTTAATTTCTCTTGATATATTATTCGGCTGAATACTGGTTAAGTGTAATTTTTTGTCTGGTCTGGCCCAAATAAGTATCAATATCAAAAATTTTTCTTCATCTACAAAAAGCTCCTCTATGCACTTTTTAAAAAACAATGCCGGTTTCGAAAAGAAGTAAGAGCCCCATTTAAATAAATCATCACCATTGGAAAACAAAGAAACGATTTCGGGAAACCCAATCATTGCTTTAATGCGGCCTTCAGTTTGGAGGTACAACCCCAAGTCAAATGGTAATTTGCATTCATTCCTTGAGGATGCAAATGCGTTTTCGTACGCTTGACTGCATCTTTTTATTTCTGTAGAGCTTAATATTCTCTCAGCCTTTTGCACGTGTTTTTTAATTATGTCCGTTCTTTCTGAATCAGTAAGATTAAACGATGCAAGAAGCTGGATATTCTTTTCGTTAAATAAAGTACATTTTCGGATTTTCATTTGTGCTTCGAAATATATATAATGCCGAGAAGTTATTATTATTCTTATCATTCTTGCTTGTAAAGCCTTCTCAATATCTTTGCAACGTAGAGACCACTCATTTAGAAGGTTTTCATCCAGTGCTCCAGCACCAAATATATCATCAATGAAAATTGTATCAAACATCCTTTTGTTGATGTCAATATTATCCCAATCTGTGGGCAAGGTAAGCTTTAGACAGGAACCTTTTTGAGATGTTTCAAATAACAATTTCGTAGCCATAGTTGTCTTTCCTTCTCCTGGAGGTCCAATAAGTATAACACAGCCCGTTTTAAGTAATATTTCCTTTGCCTTTTTGTGAGCCATAGTTTCAACATATACATCATCGCGAGCGCAATCTTCAGAGTAAATTTCGGTAATAGCTGCAAAAAGTAGCAAAATGTCAATATCAATCAAGCTTATGCTGGATTGCAACTGTTTTAATTATAAGTTCAAAACAATCAACAACAATCTGACATCCTCTGAATTTAAAATTTCACTATTAAAATTTTGGAAACAAACATTCTTTAATGTTTAATTCTGCATTAGCCATTGGTAGGAGACGTGGACAGAAGCTTGGACTTTCCGTTACTCTCAATGAACAAACACAATCAAACTGAGCCTGTATCACTTTTAATTTCGGTGTTTTATACTTTCTTTAGGGGTTCTATTTCTTTTTATCATATACTGCCAAATTGGTCAGTATGTGCATTTTGCATTAAAAAAAAGCATTTTTGAATACAAAATTTACTCTGGATTACAATTTAAACCAAATTATTTAATAACAATCACGAATTAAAACAATGCAACCTACATGGATGACGATTTTTTTCCAGATTAAAATTATAGCTTTAAAGCTGCATGCCTCCAGATGACACAAAATATTTCAAGAAAAATTAAACTTGGACAAACCATACCAATATTTTAAGAAAAGTAAACAGATTAAAGATTCAAGTGATAATTTATATCTTATGTGCATTAATGACTGTATTTTGCAGTATTTATCACCATATTTCTACTGCATTACTAACGCAGTAGGGGCTATTTATGCACATTTTGACCTTATTTTGGTGATTTATGCGGATTATAAGTACCGGTTGCAAGGTGTCAAGTACATTCTTTCTTCATTTAACAATATTTTACCTTTAAATACATATTTAAAATTTTCACGAAAATTAGGATGAATCTGGAGGCGTGCTGCTTTAAATGAAATTGAATGGAAAATGTTATCATAAAGATTGTAACATGATTATGACGCAAGGTCGTAAAGCATAAATAATGATTTTATTAACGCGAAACAGAAAAACTTACTTGCAAGACTTTGCAGGCGTGGAGACAACTTGTTTTTGGCCATTTTAGTTACTACAATAATATAAAAGAAGTTACAAGAGGGCCATGATGACCCTGAGTCGCTAACCAGAAACAACTGCTTTTCAGTGAGGGAAATTATCCATTGTCAATATGTCTGTAGAAGAAGACATTTAAAGGTTTTTTTTATTTTTAGCCCTAGAGACCCCTAAAAGGGGCCAATCAAATTAATATGAGCAAATTTGATAATAAGACTACCCAAGAATTCTACAGAATGCTACAGACAAAGTTTGGTCATCATCCATCAATTAGTTCTGTAGTAGCAGTTGTTAAAAGGTTTTTTTCTATTTTTAGCTCAGTTGACCCCAATTGAAATGCCATGAGCAAATTCAAGTGTGACTGTCACAAGGATGCTACAAACCAAATTTGAAGTAAATCAGCCCAGCAGTTTCAGAGACGAAGACGATTGTTGACGCATGACGTCGGACAATCCCCCTTAGATACTAATAGCTCACCCTGAGCCTTCGGCTCATGAAGCCTTTTATCGAGTGATATAATTTTAGATATACGAATATAATATTTTTTATATTAATTGCTTATCAGTTTTATCATATACAAAATATTTGTATGATAATTTATGATTATCGGTAAGTATCAGATTACACGTTACATAAAATGTCCCTGATAAGATACTTTATCAGTAAAAAGATTTTGTTATTTTCATTTCTGATTAGTTATGTAAACCATTTTCTTTTTGGCCACCTATCTATGTCAATATACGGCTCAGTATGATTAAGATAAATATCGGAATGATTTGTTCATAGTTGATAAAATAGATAAGTTTACCTGTTTTACTTGTGTCCTTTAAGGCCTGTTCTAGTTTCGTTTGTTTTGACTCCATTACAGAAAGTTGGGTTCTTTGTTCCAACGATTCATCATCAAGTTGATCAATACGAGTTGCTTCTTCTATTTGTTTGTTTTCAATAGTCTCTATTTTTCTCTCGTAAATAGCAACTGTATTACAAAGCTCTGTCGATCTTTGATTTGCATTTTCTATATCTTGTTTTACTTTGTCAATGTCTTCTCCGGTCTTTTCGAGCTTTGAATTGATTTCATCTATGTGTTTTTGAATTATCATATCCGTCTCTTCCCACTCTTTCATTATTTTCTGATATTCGTTTTCTTTAGCTGGGTCTATACTTTTATCTCTTAACGTAAGAATATCGTTTTGCAAATTTGGGATTCCTGCCCCAAGCCGTAACATAACCTTTAATTGAAACAGACTACAGTTGAATTGTCAGTGATTTCTTTAAAGTTTGATTAATCATTTCCAATCCCAACATTTAATTTCAAATATTATATGAATTATGTAAGGAAATGATAACAACATGTGGCTTACATTTATTTAGCATATTCTGCATATAAATGCCGAGAATAGCACTTATTGTATAGTAAATATTCTTAAGGCATCTCAAAGAAATATAATATTATCGTTTGTAATTCATACTGTCTAAAAAAAGTATTCATAAAAATGCAAATGAAGACAATAGAAAAATGATTTTTAAAAATTCAGGCACTTAATCCCGATATGGAATAAGAAACTTTAACTATTGTTCCATTTCTTTCCCCAGCTGTTTTAAAAATAGTTATAATTGACATGTTTTTTAAATGCGCAATCTGTCAAAAAATATAATAAAATTATCATCGTTAATATTACATTATTTATTAATGACAAAACATGAATACACAATAACATTGCAAATCATTATTTAAGTCAATTATAATTAAACAATAATGTATTGATATACGACTATAAATGTTGCAAATATTCGCAGCTGTTGTATTTAACTTATTTTCATAAGACTAAGCAACTTACATCGTTTCTCATTTTTCTGATCCTTGTTATGTCTGCTTCTTTTGATAAGTCCATTGAGGATGGTACCCAGCCAGCAGGGTGTGATTGACTGTTAAGACCACACATATTCAGAAGCAAACAACAAATGAGAGATACATAACAAATTTGTTGCGGAATCTGGATCTTTGGTTTGGGGATGGAAAAGTAAATTCCATTGTTCGTTCGAAATGACTTTTTCTTTCCTATAAGAGTCGAGTGGTCGCTCTTGATTTCTTTTAAAAATCTTTTAGTGGCTGCGTGGTTGCACAATTTTGATCAAACGTTGCTGTCTTAGAACAAGAAGGGCTACCGAAATCAACTATTATATACCTGTGTCTTAAAACAATTCCGATTTTTCTCTCTCGGTCAGAACAAGAAGAGAACCATCATTTATAGTTTCTGTAATTAAAAAAAACCACTAAAATAGTGCATTGTTTTTTTGTAATTGCTTTATTTTATATCAAATTATTAATTTTGTAACGCATAGCTTTGATGATTACTCAAAGTGCTGTAGAAATAATGCATTCTATACATGTTCAATCTTCATAAATTTCGAAAACTATTAAAAAGCCCATTATGCCCCAGAATCTCTTCAATTTAATTTGACGGAACAGTTTTGTTTTTACAACTTACTGTAGCGCATAAAGGCACCGGAATATGCAACAAGAAATCCATTTTATTTAAGAATTGCATGTTAAAAACATTTTTTATCGT